CGCCCCCACGCTGAGAACTTACTCAGCAGTAGTGCAGCAGCAAAGGAAGACACTGACACTGATGCAGTGCAGAGAGCTTACTGACACTTCACCAGTTCTACGTGCACTCGTGTGTGTGCATGAGTGTGTGCAGCTCTCTGAGATTTTCCACACGTGTGGCCTTGCTTTACCACTGCAACTAAGAAACTCACCTGAACCATCTTGAGACCCCTCGCACAGCCTCCTTGTAGCCACACCCACACCACTCTCATCCCTGTAGTGATGCTAGTTCACAGGTGTTGCGTACATGAATCACGCATAACGTACCCTTCTGAGACCGGCCCTCATACCCGGCATAACTTTCTGGAGGTTCACCCACGTGGTTGCTGAGTCTTACTCCATGGTATGGGATGGACCACAGTCTGCTCATCCAATGACCCACAGAAGGACACTGGTGGTTTCAAGTTTGGGGCTATTTCCTATAAAGTCGCTATGACATTCGTGTCCATGTTCCTGTGTGAGTCTTCATTTCTCCAGGTAAATGACCACGAATGTAATTGCTAGGTTGTGATGTGTTCAGGCAGGGGTTCCAGAAAGAGAACTGATACAAATTTAGAAAAACAGAGAGAGGGGGAAGTGAGGAGGAGATGCCTCTTAAGCAATTGACCCATGCAACTGTGGGAAGTGGTGAGTCTGAAGTCTGCAGAGAGATTGACAGGTTCGTGACTCAGCTTGTGTCACAGCCTTGAGTCCAAAGGCAATCTGCAGGCAGAGTTCCTTCCTCTTTGGGGGACCTTAGTCTTTTCCCTTAAGGCCATCAACTGATTGGATGAGGCCCACCCATGGTATGGAGGTTAATCTACTTTACTCAAAGTCTACTGATGTAAATGTTAATCACATCCAAAAAACACCTTCACAGCAACATTTACACAGGTGTTTTAATCAAATGGGCACCATAGCGGCCAAGGGACACACAGAATTAACCATCACATATGCTAAGTCAATTTCAGTTTTAAAAGGAGCTATCGAACTCTTTTCCAGAATGGCTGTATCATCTGACATTCCCACCAATAATGTATGAGTGGTCATTTCTCCACATCCTCACCAGCATATGGTATTATCACTATTTTTTATTGTAGCCAGTCTGATTGGGGTATAGCCATATCTTACTGTAGTTTTAATTTGCATTTTTCTAATGGCTAATGCTTTGGACATCTTTTCATGTGCTTATCTGCCATCTTTATACCCCCTTCAGTGAAATGTCTGCATATGTTTTGTGACATATATTTTGAGGCTATGTTATTGGGTGATTACAAGTTAAGGGTTGTTACAGTTTCCTGGTAAGTTGAGCTTTTTATTATTAGGTAGTTACTCTTTTCCCATTAGTAATATCTCTTGTCTCAAAATCTATTTTGTTTTATATTGATACAACCACTGAAGTTTTTTTGTTTGTTTGTTTTTTTAGCTGAGCCATCCTACTACCTGTTGGCAGCTCAATGGTTGCTCAGCTCGGGCCGGGAATTGAACCACTGTTGTTCAGAGCTCAAACCCTTGAGCGAGCTCTTAACCAACTGTGCCACTCAGCCAGCCCTTGAAATTTTTTGTGTTTTTTTTTTAATTTTTTTTAAGATTTTTAAATTGGGGAACTGGGGGAGGGGAACAGCGTTGGGGAATCAGGGAAGGGGAACAGACACGTTGCTGTCCTTTTGTTCTTCAGTCTAGTTGTGGAGGATGTCGCTTCACTGGCCCATGTTGGTATTATCATTCTTCCAGGGTGAGGCAGTTCGTCGCCAGCCACTGGATGGCTGCTCACGGCCGCTCACGGCTGTTCTCACCTGCTGCCGTCTGTCAGCTGCTCATGCTGGCTGCCGGCCACTCACGGTAGCTTTACGGCAGCCCACTGCAGCCCCACTGCAGCCTAGGGGGACTCACGGCAGCCCAGCTCCAGGCCGAGCTGTTGTTCACCATCTTAGCTGTAGAGGGTGCAGTGTCACTGGCCCAATGTGAGATCCGAACTGGCAGCCCTGCTGCTCAGAGCTCGCGCTCCCAAGCCAATTCTTAACCAACCGGGCCAGTTGGCCGGCCCTTGTTTGTTTTTTATCATTATATTTTAGGTGTGTCTCTTATAACAGCTTTGGATCGGAATTTCTAAAAATCCAGTCTGACGATTTTGTCTTTAACTAGTTTAATCCATTCACATACTTGTGATTACTGGTGTATTTCTACCATCTTATTCTGTGTTTCCTGGGTTTTTTCTCTTTTCTTCCTCAGGTGGAACTTCTTCCTTTTCTCATCCCTGCTCCCTGCCCCCTGCCCCTCCCTTCTTTGGACCATACACAATGAGCTATTATTTTGCCTGGATCTCCTAGTTCCTTTAATGTACATACTTGATAAAGCTAACATCTTTCCCATCCTTGTGAACAATAAAGAACCTTAGAATTGCCTGCTTACGTGGCATTACTATCCCAGTGCTCCACACATAAATTAGCATTGTTATTAAATTATTTGCTGGCCATGTCTGCTTAGAATTCCCTACACATTTAATGATCTATTTGGGCTGGTTTTAAATAGATCATTCAGCTGGTCTACAGATTATTTGCTTCTCTTCCCTTGAAAAGATACAACGTAATTCCCCCTACACCCCTTGAGAAGGGACTGGCTCCTAATGAATAGAGTAAGGCAGCAGCGACCATGTGACTCACTCAGTGACACCTGACACTGGGGCCTGACAACAGGCACATGGCTTCCTCCTGCCTTTCTCTTGGATCATTTGCTTCAGGGAGCCAGCCACCACGCTGTAAGGACACTCAGGCAGCCCTGTGGGGACAAGAAACCCAGACGCTTTGCGAACAGCCAGGTGAGTGCGCCATCATGGAAGTGGGCCGCAGCTCCAAGCAGCCTTCAGAGACCCACATGCAGCCTCCCGAGATGCCCTGTGGCTCCGAAACCCACAGAAACTGCAAGACAGTCATGGTTGCTTTAAGTCACTGAGCTTCAAGTTCCTTCATTTTGCGGGTGTGAGAAACCCACAGAAACTGCAAGACAGTCATGGTTGCTTTAAGTCACTGAGCTTCAAGTTCCTTCATTTTGCATGCTTTAAGTCACTGAGCTTCAAGTTCCTTCATTTATGACTCCTTGAACTTTCCCTTCTCTCTGCAGCCTTTCCTCTGGAATTCCTTATAGTGAAGTTGCGTTGCTGGTAAACTCGCAGATTTTGTTTGAAAATGTTTTTATTTTTCCCTCATTCTTGAAAGGCTGTTTTTCTGGGAACGGCCTCTGGGTTGATGGCAGTTCCCCTGGGTGCTCTGGTGTGGGGCAGTTCTTTTGCAGGCAACCATTTTCCGTCTCTGGCTCCTTTCATGATCTTCTAAGAAAAAAGGTGCATTTCTTTTAATCCGTCCTGGCTGGGATTTGTTGGGACTCCTGGATCCGAGAATTGATGTTTTAGACAGCGCTGGGAAAATGTAAGCCTTTATCTTCACATATCATCCCCCCCTTCCCTGCGCCCTTTGAAAAAATCCAACTAGGTGAACAGTCCTCCCTGCCCAACTCACCTCGCTGTTTCCCACCTCCATCTCGCAGTTCTCTGTCTCTGCAGCTGTGCCAAAAATTTCTTAAGTTTGGTCCACTTGAGGTTTTAATTTCAATTGTTATATATCTTTATTTCTAGAAGTTTTTATACTTTATTGGTTACCTTTATAGAATAAAAGATTATGTATTTTTTTATAGCATTAAAAAACACAAAGACTATTTCTTGTTCATGTTTTCAAGGACCTTTTATTTCCTTAGACATATAAGTCTATATTCTCTGATAATTCCATATCTGAAATGTCTAGTCCACTAGCTCTTGTGGATTCTTTCCCTGTGGTTTGTGAAAATTTGTTCACCCGGAGATGCCCATTTTCCTTGAAACGTGATCTATACCAAACCCTGAGGCCTTAAATTGCATTCCTTGGGAGCAGTGGTTCCCAAAAGGAGGACCCCCACAAACACACATTCTGGGTGCGTGTGCACTGCTGGCAGCTAGTGCAGAGGCCAGGGTGCTGGTCAGAGCACTGGACAGACCTGATTTACCCGGCCTCACAGACGTCAGGGTGCAAGGCTGAGCTCCGCTCAAGGTGTTTGTTTCTTCCAGTCACCTGGCCCTGCCAACCTGGGGACACTTGAAATCCGGCCCTTGAGGCCTGTAGGGCCACCCAGGCAGCCGTTTGTCACCCTGCATGGAACACCAGGGCCAAGGGAGGCCGCTATCCCTGAGCTGCCTTTGGTAACTGGGTTGTCCCTGCACCTGAGGGTGAGTGTCATGTGGAAGGTCTTACGAGGCAGATGGGGACAGACCTGCCTGACTCCTGCCTTCCACGTTCTGGGGGTGTGGGGGGATCGCAGAGCCCACAAGCGTGGCCGCACGCCTGCCCAGAGGCTGTGCTCTGGCATTTTCGGCCCCTTCAGGCGATCCATCTGGAGGGCTGGGCAGGAGCGAGCCAGGTGAAGTAGGGGTGGGGGTTCCAGGCAGAACAGCGCTGCAAAGCCGAGGTGGGAGGCCGACTGCGCGGCAGCCCCGCAATGTTTGGGGTCTCGGTCTGCCCTGAGTGATGGGTTCATGGAAGGATTAGGAGCAGAGGACGATGCACTTTTCAGTTCTGGAAATGTCACAGGCTGCATTTGGAGAACCTGGGAGCAGAGGGACCCCTAGTGAGGGTGGGCTCAGAGCCTGGGTTGGTTTGGGGGGTTGGGTATGGGATGAGAGGGGGGAGGGGCAGGTTGCCGACTTGGGGATGCCCTGGTGCACAGGCCCCAACCTGATGACCAGGATCCCTCTTTGCCTGGCACTGGTCTAACTGCTGCACAGCAAGTCCACCTGGTTGGGGCTGCAGCCTGCACTTCAGGACCTGCCCCCCTTCCAGAAGAACCCACCCCTGTCATCCAAGCAGGGCAGCTTGCATGGTGGGATGATTTGAAGCTGGTCTGGGACACTCGCTGTGCCCCCTGCCCCC